TCGCCTTTCACCCTCCTCCCCTTTCCCTCCCTCCCCTCCCCCTCCTCCCTCCGCCCTCCCTGGACGTGCGCGGCCGGCCGCAGCCCAGAGGGACGCTGATCCGGACCGCGAAGCCCCCCGCGGGAGGAGGGGCACGGGGCGGAGCGGTCGACCCCAGGGCCCCGCTCGGCTGGTGGGGGGGCAGGGGGGTGGATGTCACCGGGGTCACGAGGCCGCGGGTTCGGCGGGAGGAAGGTCGGGTCTGCCTTCTCTCTCCAGCTCCCGGGGCCTCGGCGTCCGTGCAGGCGGTGCGCGTTGGCTTGGAGAGGGGGCTCGGGGCGGGGAACCGAGCCTGCTGGGGGGCCAGGGGTGGGGGGACGGAAACTGAGGCGTGCAACTTTTGTTTGCTTGCTTTCCACGACGGGTGTGCACCTCAACCCACCCTCCTTGGCAGTACCCGACGAGACTCGGTTCTTCCTGCGCCGAAAGGTGACAGATAGGCACGGGGTACAGCCCACCACCGAGCCCCGCTTTTGCAGGACGTGGTTGGCAAGCCCACCGCCGGTGCCGGAGTCCGGCGAGCCCTCCCCAGCCTTTTCCCCTCGCCCGCTGTGGCTCTCGAAGGCTTCCGGAGGTCCCTGTTCAGACTCGCACAGCCGGCACCAGACTGTTCTGGAATCGTTTTGTTTACTTCACTCTTTGGGGAGCCCCTTCCTGGAATACAAGACCGTGCCCTGTTTATCTTTGTCTCCCCCGCCACTAGTTAAGTAGGCTGCTACCTGGAGCATAGTAGGCACTCGGTATCTGTTGGCTGAGGATCCCTCACTGCCCCTCAAAGGTCAGGGCATTTATCTTTGGAGAATCAAAGCAGTTGCCCAACACCGGGATGACCGCACAGCTTCCGTTTCCTAGTCAGAGAAATGGGAATATATAGATACATCTCCCAGGGCTTTAGAGATTATAGATGGGGCAAGCGCAACCCTCCTCTCCCAGCATTCATTCTTGCACAATTTTGGTTTACAATAGGCGGAAGCTAGCATTATTTTTAAGGAAGTTTCCATTTTCCTGGTCCTACTGGACTTTTCCAACAATAGACCCTGTAAACTCCTTTGGCTAGTATGGACGGACATTTAAGACAACCCCCCACTACCACCCCGTATCAAAGGGTTGTGCTCTCCGAGGAAGTTTGTCTGGCATGCCGCGCCAATCGCCAATCACGATTTCTCATTTATGCCTCGGTTTAACTGTTTATCTCTTTCTCCCCACTCGACATTCTTTACCCCTCTCGGCTTTGAGAGCTGTTGGGGGTGGGGTGGAGGCGGGGGTTGGGTGGGAGCTGAAGATAAGGGCCCTGCCTTTAGGCAATTGAAAGTGGTGTTGTGGAGACAAGATACCCCAAACAACTCCAAGGCAACATAATCGCTGAATCCTGGTTCAAATTATAAAAAAAGCAAGATACACGCAACATTTTTCTTTGGCTTTTAAAGACGTTGTGACGTGAAAATCCATAGTGACACAAGTTTTAGATGCGTTTTTTTTTTTCTTTGAGGGGCTCTGGAGACGTGGGAAAAGTTCCTAAAAGAAAATAATGTTCCAAGTTGCCGTCATAATGCCATTGCTCTCCATAGGAACCGAGGTGCCTCCTGGGAGCAAGTGAACCAAGAGTCTTTGTAACAGCGGGAGAAAAAGTCAGAAGCAAAGCTACAGTTAATCAGAAACTTTGTCCGTATTTTTGACTTATTGATTGTGTTGATTGGCAGCTCTCTGCACGACCTGCTCTTCAATCAGTTATAAGAGGAACCACGAGGGGGCAATGTCTTCCTGAGCAATGGCCGAGTGGTGGGCTTCGATGGCCCAGCCTTTTACCCTCCTTGACTATTCTTGCCTGTTACTGAATATACTCCACAGGGAGACATTGTTTTGCTGGAGCCTGGTAAGGACCCAAGAAAAAAATGACAGATGGGTTTCACTCGGAGCCCATTTAGAAGAAGGTGGGTTAGGTGGTGTGGTTGCAGTATGCTGGGGGAGTCTCTTATCCCTCTCCTGGAAAAAGTGGGTTAATTTCAGATGTAGACTAAAACCTGATTTTTTTGTTTTTGTCTTGAAGCCAAACCAGAACTTTGTCTTTTGTTTAAAAGTTAGCGACCTCTGTATAAGAAAATTGAGTCCTGTGAGAGGAACCTTGTCTGGCATCTTTATTGTGTGTTCCCAGCATTTAGACAGGGCCTGACAATAGAATAGAGTTATTTTTAATGAATAGACAGACAGTGGTGGCAATCGCCTTTCATCCCAGCATTTAGGAGGCAGAGACAGACGGATCTCTGAATTCCAGGCCAGCCTGTTGGTCTACAGAGTAAGTTTCAGGACTGTCAAGGCTACACAGAGAACCCTGTCCCTCCCACTCCCTCTCCCCCGGAAAAAAAATCCTGAAGGTGTAAGCATGGTCACTAGACAGAGTCAGAATCATTATTAATATTTGATCTTTGGAAGGTGTGGCCTAGATAGAGACATCGCCCACAACAGGACTGAAGGAAGATTAAAGAAATGGACGGTAAACTCACACCATGGTATTGACACAGCAGGCAATAAAACTGTGAGAGACAGCGGACATGGTTGGTGTCTCAGCACAAGGAACGAGGGTGAGATAATAGGCCTGCGAGAAAGGGATTTCATTTTCTATCCTTTCGGCAAGCAGTGGTATGTACTTATTTGGAAGAAAAAAACAAGACCCAAGGAAAATCTGTAAACAGACTTCCACTATTTATAAACGTCATGGCTGTAGAGAGAGAGAAGGGGGGGGGATGGTGGGAGTTATATACTCAGGCAGGCTTTAAGTAGTCTTTAGGACTTACTTACTGTTTCAAAGACGAAGTTTTAAGAGTTTGAGAGCACCTTGGTAGCCGATCGTTGCCCGGCATGCTAAGAATTATAAGACAACAAAGGGAGTTTATATCCCGGAAGAACTGGGCTATTGACCCGGAGACATTTGCCCTCTCACCTGCCCACTGCTCTCCTGTATTTCTGCCTGGCCTGCAAGGTTGCATACCAGGGTGAAAGGGAAATATTGTGTGCACCTGTAGTTTTCATTACCCATCGCTGTGACGCTGGCAGCGTTCCTTTGGAGGCTTGCTGCTGTAAGAAATCCAAACCCATAATTAGGTCTTCACCGTTTGTCCCTGGGAATTGTAGGCATTGCAGGTCGATGGGGGGTGGGGCTGAGGAGCCGATAGGCAATGCACGGAGCTGTGTATCTGCACTACAGAAGGCTGCAGAATCCACCCCGTGTGTTGCGATTGCTGACTTGGTTGATCCAAAGCTCCGTTAGTCTTTTCTTCATCCTTGACAACTCACTCTTCTTCATTTCACTGCCACCCTCCTCCTTTGATGTTTGTGTTGTTCTTTTGCTTTTGGAGACAGGGTTTTTCTGTGTAGCCTTGGCCATCCTGGAGCTCACTCTGTAGACCAGGCTGGCCTCGAACTCTGAGATCCTGCCTGCCTCTGCCTCCCAAGTGCTAGGATTAAAAGCAAGTGCCACCCCCACCCCTGCTGTTTTTATTTTTATTTTATTTTAATTTTTGATAGTGGCAAAGGACACAAAAAGTTAACCATCTAAACCATTTAATGAGTCGGCAGTATTAGATATATTTACACTTTTACAACATCCCCTGATTTTTTTTTAACCGCCTCCATAGTTCTAAAATCCTCTCACTATTTTCACAAAACATAAACAGCCACAAGCAGAACCAGACAAAGAAGAAAACCAGGTTCCCAGCTTGCAGCTCCAACCAGTTTCTCAGCAGAGAGGGCCAATACCAGTTGGTCAGCCTTGCTGAGCATACTGTCTTGGTCGTGAATCCTCCAACGTCGGGTGAACAGTCCCAATTGATGCCACACAGGAAAAAACTAAAACAAAAAACAAAACAAAACCAAACCGATATCTCCAGAAAATGCTGCCCATGTTACAAAATTGGTAGTAATTACATTTTTAAGTGAATTCTATTGTATTATACCACTAAGATTTAGGTGGCTTTAAAACAGCATTAAACAAAGAAATACAGTTGCATATCCACAAGTGGCCGTCCTGCTATAAAACAAAGCCAGGCAATTTAAGGCTTCAGGGTGGCATTAGGGGGTGGGAATCGGAAGAGGTGCCCCTTCTTGAGTCTGTTAACAAAAAACACTATTCAAAGGCAGCATATCACTCTGCAGGCTGCCCTGATTTAGATACTGGAAAAACAATTAGTTCAATTAGCTGATCGCACAACAAAGACAAACAAAACCTAAGGAGCCTGTGGATCTGGCTGTGGTGATTTCTAGATAGAACGCTGAAAGGATGGTTTTGTTTGTTTGTTTACTTAGTTATCCGTGCTGGAAGAAGCAGCTGACACAAGCAAGTTGAGCAGCCATACACGACCTGAAAGGCTTTATTTGTTTTCTACGTTTCTGTTTAGTTTTGAGGCAGGGTTTCACTCTGTAGATCTGGCAAGCCTGCAACTCACTGTATAAAGCAGCCTGGCCTCAAACTCACAAAGATCTGCCTGCCTCTGCCTTCCAAGTGTTTTCTACATTTTTAGGATTATACTCCTTTTACAAAAGAATGGGGTAATGCTGTGCCTTGTCTCCAAAAACAAAGAAGGACAATAAAAACAAACTAAGGAGCTCGGCATGGTGGCACACACTTTTAATTCTAGCAGGTTCAGACATGTGAAAGACCAGCATCGTTTTCTGGATGAACTCAGGCCGCTAGGGCTGCATAGTGAGACTGTGTCTCAAATAAATGATAAGTAAAACATAAAGATGAAATAAATGATAAAGTAAAAATAGGAAGAAAGACCCAGAAGGCAATTCACAGGTTCAGGCCAATCAGGGTTATATAGTGAGACCCTGTAATAGTAAATAAACATTAAAAATAAAAGGAAGACAGATACCCCCTCCCAAAGGCAATTCACAGGTCACAGGTCCTCAGATGAAACAGTCTATGGATGGAGCTGTCTGATGGGCCCTTATAGAAAGTCACTTTAGTGGGCTCCCCAGAGCTGAACAGATAGAACCTATAACAAAACTGGACCCCAAGGTCTCCAGAAGGCTGGACCACTACCCCCTTGGCCAGTTTGGCCAGTAAAGCAGATCATAGAACAGATAGGATTATTGTTTTTTCTTTCTTTCCTTTCTTTCTTTCTTTCTTTCTTTCTTTCTTTCTTTCCTTTCTTTTTTAACACAGACAGAGTTTCTCTGTGTAGCCTACTAGAACACTGTAGACCAGGCTGGCCTCAAATTCACAAAGATTTGCCTGCCTGCCTCTGTCTCCCAAAAGGTGTGTAACACCACTGTCCAGCTTGTTTTGGTTTTCTAAGGCAGGGTCTCACAAAATAGCTTAGCTGTCCTAAAACTCATTAAGTCCACCAGGCTGGCCTTGAACTCACGTAAATCCACCTGCTTTCCCCACTTGATAGAATGAAAGTGTACGGTTGCTACCACACTTGGCTTCTATTTCATTCTTGAGATGGATCTCCTGTAGCCCAGGCTAGCCTTGAACCTTTAAGCTAGGTCTCCTAGAATGAACCTTGACCTTCTGATGTCCCTGCCTCCACCTCCTGAGCACTGGATTATAGGGTGTGCGGCCACATCCAGTTCATGTGAAGCTGGGGATTGAGCTTGGTGCTTTGTGCATTCCAGGCAAGTCTGTCCCAGCCTGAGCCGCATCTCTGCTCCCAGCAAAATGATTAAGCCATCATAGCATTTGATATTTGAACTTGCTTGGATTCCATCACCCCTTTCATCCATCCTGTTTCTCTCTTTTGGAATAAACAATGTCTTTATTTGCTCTCCAGTCATTGTATTTTAGAAGCATATAATTTACCCAGTTTTACAGGCCTGCAGGTAGATTGACATTTTACCTCAGGATGGAGTGTAGCCACATCGGAATTCCATGGGATATGTATGACAGAGCTGTTGCTGAGGTGAATTAAGCAAGACGTTAAATGCTATCGGGATGGGAAGGGATGTGTTCATATTTCGCACATGGGATGGAAGTGAATTTTGTGGGGTTAATGGTGGGAAGAATGACCAAATCATCACCATAGGCTGGTCACCACTGACTGACACTTAGTTCAATCTTGGGGCCCTGAGGTAAATATATACAGGCAAAAAATGCCCACACTCCTTACTAACAGAAACTGAGAGACTTAATCGAGTATTGGGGTAACCTGTTAGGCAGAAATGGGTGAGTAGATACTTTAAAAGGTTTAGGGGGGTAGATTTGAGTTGCAATAGATCCTGCTAAGTGCATCTGTAGGTGATTTTGTCACCATATAAACATGCATATAAATATGCATATATAAACACGCAGCTACAGCATCCATAGGGATAAAATCTCATCAGACCACAGTCATAAATGTGGTCCATCACTGAACAAAACATATGGCTTATGTCTGTGTCACACAGATCCCTTGTCAACTAGACAGTAAGGCCCCTGCAACCTAAGGGGTGTTACCCCTTACCAGACTAATGTGCCCAAGGCAAGAAATGGTCTATTTTGGAAGAAACAAGTCTATGGGTTTTGTTTACAGGAGGGATTTAAATAATAAGATATTATGGTGTGGCATTTTAACGTTCTCTTTGCTTGTTCTTTTTTGTTTGTTTGTTTTTTGAATGCAGAGATCCACCTGCCTCTACCTCCCGAGATCTGGGATCAAAGGTGCGCGCTACCACCTCCAGGCTTTTTAAGGTTCTGTATAAGTGTACATTGGAATAGAGACTGTTCATAAGGAGACTGTTCAACTTCAGAATCCATCTCTACAGCCAAGAAGAATCTGCAATTATTGGCTGATTCCAAAGGGAAAGCTGACTCAGAGGACAGAGCAAAGAACCACTGAGAATCATTCCTAAGAGCAGGAGTGGCCTGACTGATATTATTGCACCGGCTCCACTGCAGAATTCCTGGGGGCTAGTTTCTTCCACGCACCTCCCACTTTCTCCCCTGACTCCCCAGTCCCCTTGTTGAGGCAGAATCTCACTATATATAGTTGAAGCTATCCTCAAACTCACAGTCCTGCTACCTAAGGTTCTCAAGTGCAGAGATTACAAACATGATGTGAGATTCTCCTCTGTATGCTGTGAATGCCATTGGTTAATAAAGAATCTGCTTTGGGCCTATTGCAGCGCAGAATAGGGCAAGACAGGAATTCCAAGCAGATAGAGGAGGAGAGAGCAGGCTGAGTCAAAGAGACGCCATGTAGCCATCAAAGGAGAATGGCACCCTTGGGAGTCCCAATGGGTCAATTTAAGATACAAGAGCTAGCTAGCAATACACCCAAATGATTGGTCAAGCAGTGTTTTAATTAATACAGTTTCTGTGTGATTATTTCCGGTCTGGGTGACCCGGAACAAACAAGCAGTCTCCCACCTACACAAACATGCATCACTACATGCATTGCTACATATGCTATGACATGCTTCACTGCATGCATCATTCACATGCATGAACCACATGCCCAACTCATCTTTCTTTCTTTCTTTTTTTCTTTCTTTCTTTCTTTTTTGCAGTAAAGTTTCTATTAAGTGTTTTCCATCCTTAATGTTTTGGTGCTAAATGTATAGAGACCAGGCATTTTGTCTTTTTAGTTCCCAGTCACCCTTCCAGTCAAGCAATCTGATAACATGTGGGCTCCTTCCCTGAGCTCCTGCATCTGCAGCCAGAGATCTTGGGCATAGTTCACAGGGCTGAGTCAGGAGCCATGCTTATGCTTGAACCTGACTTAGCTGATGCTATTTTTAGACCAGGGATTGGTGAAATCTTCTGGGTAATAAGAGTGAATAATTTTAGGCTTCACGGGACATATGTGCAACGCCTGTTACAAAACAGCGCAAAAGAAACCTTGGCAGGTCCCATGGCGGGTGAGAATCATGGCGGGTGACAAATACGCCATTCAGGCAGAGTTCAAGTGTGGAGTTTATTGAGATAAAGGAAATGAAAAGGGAAGAGAAAATGAGAGGCAGACAGAAAGAGGGAGACAGAAAGCTGCTGCCTCGGAGAGAACGGCAGGAAGAAAGATAGAAAGGAGACAGAGAAAAGAGAAGAAGCAGGAAAAGGCCTGCATACCCATTCAGAGGAACAGCGGGAAAGAGAGACTGGGAGTGGGCGGTCTCTTAAAGGGACCTTTGCATCTGCCTACAAAGTAGGACCCTGGGCTGGCCAGCGTACTGCCTGGGTACATCTTGTCAGATGACAGGGCAGGCCAGCATAATGCCTGAATCCTAACAACGTCTGTCATACAGTCTTTGTTTTTATAATCCTTTAACAAATATAAAAATCATTCTTATCCCAAGGGTTATATAAAAATAAGCCACAGGATGTACTTGGCTCTTGAGCTGTGGTTTCATCATTCCTGGCAGAGATTAAAAACTGATTTATGGTGGGGGAGTGCCGAAGAGATAGCTCAGTGTATAAAAGCGTTGCTGCTTTTCCCGAGGACCTAGGTTTAATTCCCAGCACCCATATGGCAGCTGATAACTGTAACTCCAGTTTCAGGTGATCTGGCACCTTCACAGATATGCATGCAGGCAAACGCATGAAATTTAAAAAAACTGATTTATGATAGAATGAGCTACAATGATGTCTTGCGGGAGTGTGGGGGAGCAGTATCTACACTGGAGGGACATTCATGGTGATCATAGAATGGTAGCTAGTCTTCCAATATATTTCCAAGTAATTCACCATTGCATATTTGGGTCTGTATATGTCATAATGCACGCGCACACACACACCACCCTTGCCATCAAGAGAGAATTTGAAGGCTTGAGATTCAGCTCAGCGATTTAGAGCACTTACCAAGGACATTAGTCTCACAACTGCTTGTAACTCCAGTCCCAGGGAACCCAACACTCACTCTCAAACATCTACAAACACCTGCACACACATGGTGCACGCATACACATAAATAAGGTAAATCTGGTTTTGTTTTGTTTTTAAAGAAAGAGAAATGGACCTTAAGAGTTTTCTCCTTGAAGCTGAGCTGGGCCCAATAGAATGTAGAGAAAAGAGAATTCTGGAGTTGTGAGCACAGGCATTCTAGAATCCTGGCAGCTTCTGTTTCCTTCCTCTTGGAACTGAGCTTCTCCAAAAAGGAGAGTCCACAGTGACCTGGAGAGGCCTGTCCCCAGCACTTCATCTCAGTGTCCTGACCCACCTTGTCAATCCGCCATCTTGGAGGCACCATCCAGCCGAGACACCGTGACACAGAGACTAGGTGACTGCTCACGTTTCTGCCTAAATTGCATGGTCTTTATGAATAAACAATCTACTGTTCTAAGGCACTAGGCTGTGAGGCAGTTATTGTGTCATGACAGGAGATAGGAATAATGGAAGCAAGGCCCTGGAAATCAGAAATCACTGGGCATTTTCAGGCACCTAAGTCTGACATGAGAATGAGATCCATAAAACAACAAATGCTGTTTATAGCATTAAGTTTCCTTTGAAGGACAGCTAAGTGTGTGTGTGGGGGTGGAATATGTATGTATTCCTTTCAGAGCCTTAATAGAAATTCCCAGATGTATGAGTCAATACTCATAATAATAATAATAAGTAATAATAATAATAAGTAAATAATAATAATAATAAGTAAAAAAACAAAAGCAGGCCAACATGTAGCTGCTGGGTAGCTAGCAAGCAAACAAAGTCATAATGTAGTGGTTTTTCCTTTAAAAATTCCACCTGTGACCCGGTGGTGGTGGTGCATGCCTTTCATCCCAGCACCACCGGGGAGGCAAGGACAGGTAGATCTCTGGGTTCAAGGCCAGCCTGGTCTACAGAGTGAGTTCTAGGAGAACCAAAGATACACAGAGAAACCTTGTCTCAAAACAACAACAACAACAACAACAACAACAACAACAGATACCACCTGTGATTTAAATTTCAGCCCCGGGAATGGAATATATAGTAAATGTTTCTGAGGAATCACAGGCAAGGAGCAGATTTACATAACTGAAACGTTTGCTGAGAATCCACATGTGTTAGGAGACAAGACTGAAGATTTAAATCATTTAGTAATTAAGTGCTGCCCTTCAGAGAGAGCATTTCAGAATCCATCTCAAGAAGGACTGAAGGAAGGCTGAAGTAGCTGGAAACAGGCACTGTGTGGTCCATGGATGCCGAGCAGGTTGATGAAGCACACTTCCGTGTGTGAGGGTGAAGTCATTTCCTGGAAGCTGAAGGAGGAAAGGCCCATCCTGAGCGCAGGCAGCACCATCAGAGAGGCTGGAATAGAAGTAGAGAGCAAGCCAACCAGCAACCTTCAACACCAAATGGAGGCAGGGGAACCATAGGATAAAGAAGTAAAATGTTGTGGGTGTGATATCTGCACATATCAAATGCTGCGGGTGTGATATTTGCACGTATCAAATGCTGCGGGTGTGATATCTGCACGTATCAAATGCTGCGGGTGTGATATCTGCACATATCAAATGTTGTGGTATGATGTCTGCATGTATCAAGTCGTCGTGGGGCTGGAGAGTTAGCTCTGTGGCTAAGATCACTAGCAGCTCTTCCAGAGGACTCAGGTTCAATTCCCAGCACCCACATGGAAGATTCTAGTTCTACAGAATATGATGTGGTACGGGAGAATTGTCTATATTCTGTCAATCATGTTTTAAATAAACGCTGATTGGCCAGGCAGGAGGTGTAGGTGGGAAAACCAGACAGGAAGTGGAAATGATGCAAGGAGAGCAGGAGAATTCTGGGGAGGAGGAAGTTGATTCCTCCCACTCCTGCCCAGATCACTGAAGCAGCAGGATGTGAGCTGCCCCACTGAAAAAGGTACTGAGCCACATGGCTAACATAGATCAGAAAAATGGGTTAATCAAGATGTGAGAGTTAGCCAGTAAGAAGCCTGACCTAACGGGCCAATCAGCATTATAACTTATAGAGATCTCATGTGTGATTTTTCTCTGGGACTAAACAGCTGGGGGAACAGGGCAGGACAAGAACCCCAATAAGCAGGCCCGGCCTTTTCATGTTAAAATGACGCCCTCTTCTGGCTTCCTCAGACACTGTGCAGATAGCACACAGGCATATGTAGCAGGCTTTCTTTTGGGCCACCAACCAGTTCCCAAATAAAGACACAAATTTATTATTATTTCTAAATATTTATTATTATATGCTTGGTCTTATCTTATGCTTATCCCATGAGCTTTTTAAATTTAACCTGTTTCTCTTCATCTATATTTTGCTTCATGGCATTTTACCTTTCTTTCATTCTGTATGTCCTACTCTGTGTCTGGCTAGCCCTGGGCATTACCCTCTCTCTCTTGTTTTCTCTTTCTCTACTCTTCTTTCTTCTCCAACCTAGATTCCTCCTATTTATCCTTTCTGCCGAACATCCCTGCCTATCTCTCTACTGCCTGGTTATTGGACATTCAACTTTTTATTTAACCAATAGGTGCCTTAGGCAGACAAGGCAACATATCTTCACACCGTTAAACAAGTGCAGTATAAACAAATGTAACACATCTTTACATAGTTAATGTAATATTGCACAACAGGCATGCATTTAGGCAAAACACCCATATACATAAAGTAATAAATAAATAGAGTTGGGTGGTAGTATATGCCTTCAGTCTCAGCTCTTGGGAAGCAGAAGCAGGAGAATCTGAGTTTGTAGCCAGCCTGTTCTATACAGCAAGTTAGAGGACAGCCAAGACTACTCAGAGAGGTCCTGTTTCAAAAAATTAAATTAAAACATAAAATCTCGTGAACTCTCATAATAATTGTGTACATATTTTCTTTATTTTTCTTTTGGTTTTTCAAGACAGGATTTCTCTGTGTAACAGTTCTGACTACCCTGGAACTCACTTTGTAGACCAGGTTGGCCTTGAACTCACAGAGATCCCTGCCTCTGCCCCCAAGTGCTGGGATTAAAGGCGTGCACCACCACCGGTCAACAAAGTGCATATTTTCTTTGAGACAGGGTCTGGATGGGCGAACTGAGACTGACCACAAACTCACAATTCTCCTGCTTCGGGACCTGGGTGCTGGCGTTGTAGATAAGCACTTCCATACCTCACTTCTTTGAGGTTATTCTGTTCCCGTTCATCAAGGTCCATCCTTCCATCCCACAGATGGCTATTAATCACTGTGGTGAGTCCTTAGAAAACAGTAGACAGCAAGGGAGATGCTGACCCTAGCCATGACCAGGCAGATTATTAAACAGGTACATGAAAAAAAAAGTGTGTAATCATTATAGAAGTTAAAATTTATTTATTTTTTCTTTATTTTCTTTCTTTCTTTCTTTCTTTCTTTCTTTCTTTCTTTCTTTCTTT